CAAATGCAAATACCATTAGTACATTCAAACTAAGCACTTTACCTTAGTGCCAAAAATGAACAAAAAATGACAAGGAGAAACCTGCAATATAAGTTAAATTAACTAAACTTTAGATACTACTATACATACAGAAGCGATAGATGAATAACGTTCAAGATTTCTTGTGACAAAAAAAGAACGGAAAGAAAGGGAAACACGAAGAGAAATAAAAGAAAAAAGTTGTCAGAATTTTAACCAAACTCAGTATTTTTTCCATAATGGGAGTAAAAAAAAAAATCTCATAAGAAAAGCGATTTTTTATTCCTTGTTCTTTTTTTTTTTTTACGCCTTATATGTTAAAAAAAAAGGGAACTTAACAAAACTGGAAGTCAACTGCTAAAAGCAAGTAACAAAAAGAAAATTCCCATTTTTTTTTTTTGTTTGCACGTTTCAAAAACGTTTTAAAAAACTTGACAAAACTTGTTGTTTTTGTTTTTAAAAATAGTTTTAAAAAAGGAGGAAAAGGTTAGAAATTGGAAAAAAAATTATAAGGAGTAAGTGTGCAGTAGACGAAAATACTGGCAAATAAAAAAAAAATATTGCTGCAGGATATGGAAAGTCGAAAAGATAATTTAAAAAAAGTTACTTTGAATTCAAATAACAAAAGATAACATTTTTTTTTTGTCTGCTTGCCAAAAAAATGTTGCTCTAAAGCAGGGTGAGGGCTCCATTAACAAGAGCAAAACTTTGAGAAGCACTGATGTATCACCGAGTGATCTTAAGCGATAGATTTTGAGTAACTGACTACTCCCCCGGCAATCTGTAAAAGCACTCGGCAAGCCAACCACCGCCGTTATTCGATCCCTGATTTTCGATATGGCAAACGTTAATGTTTCCAGCTCATACGAAACAGATTTTGATACTGATAAGGCAGTAAGTTTGAAAGACTCAGAGATCCGGTAGTTTTAAAAGTACTCCGGAGGGGATGAGGACTAAGCGAAAAGCGATTAGTTGTTGAGGGACAATAAAGAGCGTAGAACGAACTTTGTTTCTTCTATTTCTTTCAGTATTGCTATATTTCTGTCCAAAACGCTGAAGGTTATTCAAACAAATCATTTCCCGTTCATGTTTATGGAAGGGTGATGATTTTTATCTATTATGAGAACCAACAAGAATTCACAAGAAAAATAAATATATTCTTTCCCACTTCAAAAAATTATGAAATAACACTTTTCTTTATGCCACTGAAATGTAGGATCAGTTACTGTAAAATTATACGTCAAACTTCTTTGCTGCACAAAAAAAAGCAAAAAAATAAAAAGAAAAAGAAAATGAAAATGAAAATATACATTTAAAATAAAAAGTGGTGATATAGAATTTTTCGAACTATGAAGAAGGCAGAAGAAAATGTTAATAGGGCCAACAACTGTAACAATAAAAATAACAATTTTTAATTCAGGATACGGCTATTTTCGTAAGGGTTCTGGTTACAAAAAATGCTTGTTAATAAGTTGCTGGGAGACTGACGATAAAAGTAGATGCAGCAGCAGCAGCAGCAGCAGCAGAAATCGGTGAATTGAGTGTGAAATCGGTGTGAATAGCTCTGTGTCTACATTTTTGTCCAATGTCTGTGTCCGGTGCCCGTGTTTTAAATAATAAATCTCAATGGCTTGTTATTATTGATGAATTTGAGTGGTATAAATTATTCAGCTGAAGCCGTGCTAAGACGAGGAAGATGAAACGGAGAAAACAGGAGAAAAAGAAGAAAAATTTATTAAATGTAAACTGTGATGCTGCCGTTTTTATGAGCAAACCGTAGAAGCCGAGGCTAAAAATTTCGGCAACTAGATGACGACAAGAAAAGGAAAGGAAAGGAAGGGAAAGGAAAGGAAAGAAAAGAAAAGAAAAGAATAGAAAAAAAAAAAGAAAGAAATAAACATGAATTTTTTCTTACCAAATTTGACACCAAAAAAAAAAAAAAGAATTCTTTTTCCATTTTCAAATTTAAGTCTTCTTTCTAAGTGATTATATATTTATTTCAATCTTTTTTTTTTTTTTTTTTTTTTTTTTTTTTT